TGCACAACGGTTTCTTTCACTAAGAGCATTTGGTGCTCCAGCAGTTGTAGCGTCTTTGGCTCTTCAAGGAGTTTTCCGTGGTTTTAAGGATACAAAGACTCCAGTACTATGTCTAGGTAAGTGTTTGGTTATATATAATTGAAATTTTCTAGTGAAAAGATCCTCTGTTGATTGAGGTATGCATATATCACATGCCATAAGACTCACAGACGTTCATTTATCTGTTTCTAAATTCTTTAATGTGTTGCTTTGAAATTCAATGGTTTTATGTTTACAATTATATACATTAATTGATTTACTTATCATGATGTTGCTTTTCTATCAGATAAATGATAACTTGATTACATTGATTCCATTTTTTTTGGATGGGGAGAGCACTGGGGAATTGGTGTAACACATTTTTATTGATTCCAATGCTATATATTTGTGATTCGTGTCATGATGGTATTCACCATCCTTTGATTGATGTGAAATAATCTGCAGTTTTTGGGATGGAAAATCCAATTTTCTTACAACCACACATGCACACACCTCTATGTGTGTGTGTGTGTGCGTGTGTGTGTGTGTATTACTGGTCTGTTATTCTCGCATAATGTATTTATAACTTTGTCCCCAACTAGTTGGTTTCTGTTTGTCTTTAGTTAAGCTTGAGTGGTCCATCTGGTTAATTGATGTATTTTTCTTTGTGCAGGTATTGGTAATCTGCTTGCTGCATTTTTGTTACCCATCCTTATGTATTATTTTGGTTTGGGTGTAACTGGTGCAGCACTTTCCACTGTTATATCTCAGTATGTGATTTTCAATACAGTTTCTGTTAATATTCCTTTTTTGCTTTACTTCGCAAATGAACATATTCTGGAATTTCTGTTTTCAGATACACTGTCACCTTTTTAATGATCTGGTTTTTAAATAAGAGAGCTATACTATTGCCTCCAAAGGTGGGATCATTGCAATTTGGTGGATACATAAAATCTGGTAAGTTCCTTTTCTTTTTCTTTAAACTTTTACCCTTCATATATCTGAAAATATATGCCTTTTTTTCCAGTGTTCTGCTTCAATTATTTGCTTGACTATCAATGCTATCATAATATTTGACTTTTTTTGTTTTCTGATTGAGCAGTGCATGTATATGGACAGTGTGTGTCTTAATGTTTCATTTTGTCTTTGTGATGCTAGTTAAACCTCTTTCTTTACTCCAGAGATAATTCTCTCTTGTCTTCCTTTTGTTCTTGGAAGAACTCTTGCTGTTCTTACTACCTTGACATTGGGAACGTCAATGGCTGCTCGTCAAGGTCCAGTAGCTATGGCTGCTCATCAGATATGTATACAAGTTTGGTTGGCTGTATCCCTTCTAACTGATGCAATGGCTGCATCTGGTCAGGTATGCTCTCTCTCATTTTATCATCGCAGTTCGTATCTACTCATTTCCATTTGGTGATCCAGATCAATCAGTGGGTGAAGTCT